TTTGCTCCTCAGCATGGCTGCCTAAAAACGCTGCAGATTTCTCATACATGCATGAATGAGTCAGAGCAAGGCTTTGGGCATGATTTTGATGAGAGTATAACATTATAACATGATATAAAACTGAAAAAAGTTGATTTTACATGATATTGTCCTTTTGAGAAACAACCTCCACTCATGGTTTCACTTTCAGTCTCCTTTCTTCTCACTTTGGCTTCATGTAGCGTTTTTATTACTCATTATTGCATCCATTTTTTTCTCTCTTTCTGCTTCCAGTAGACGATGTCCCGCCTTATTTTAAAATGGATCCTCCTCAGACCCAGGTTCACCTAGAGGGAAACCGTCTGGTTCTGACCTGCATGGCAGAGGGCAGCTGGCCCCTGGAATTCAAATGGATTTACAACGGGACCGAGCTCACCCGCTTCTCCCTGGAATACAGGTGAGGAGTGAAACCTCGCACGCTAGAGCTGACTCTCTCTTCATTTCTTTTATTCATCAAATTTAATTATCTCACCCCAGGAGGACAATTTTAACAGCATTTAATTGTAACTAATAGCACAATAGTTCATTTTTATTCATTTTCCAGACTCGTTCTTCATGAATATATTCAACCCTGATTTGGCTGCTCGTCTCCCTGTTGTGTTCGGGGAATTTTAGATTCATTCTGATTTGTATTTCAGAGAGCTCTCGACATTCAGAGATGGTGTAAGCAGATAATGCGCTTTCTCACTCTTCCCTTGCTTTTTTGTCAAAACTATCGTTGTTGTAATAGAATAACACAGTGCGTGTTCTTCAACATCTTGTACAGTGTGGGTGTGCTCCGCTCAGCGAGCGGCACGACGGTGTTTCGCTGACGGCAGAGTTCTCCTGGACATGTTAGGTTACATATAACAACGTACATACAGCCACTAAACACAATGCAGGAGAATTCTATGTTTTTAACAGRCTAGACTTTGGCTTCTGTCTGTGCCGACATGGGCCTTTTTGCACTGCAACTCCTGGCCTGTTCACCGTGTTTACATTACCCCTTTTTGCCCAGTTCCACCCCAGTTTCTGTGGTCTGGGCCGGGCTGATTTGACATCAAGCTACAGTTGCTCATTGATTGGTTCACTGACCGGTGGGGTTATGTGCTTTACATGAATTGTTTGCAGTGAATAATAAAATGTTGATGTTGTTTTTTTTTTTTCGAGTTATCGAGTTTAACTACACAAGAACAGTAGCGAGCTACCAAACAAGCTAACATTAGTTTACTGTTCTTCATCCTCAACTTTCATCTTAAAGGGATCCTTGATTAGTGGTAACATTAGACTTTATTTAATAAATGTATATTTTAACTGTAAAATAAAGACTGGAGCAATACTGTAGGATGTTCAGTTATCATTTTTTAACTAAAAGTTTAAAAATATTTTACACGGACAGGGCCATTTCATTTACACGCAAAGTATTCTGGGTAAATGATGAGGTGGATAGGTCTTTGGTGCGAGGCTGCTAGTGAGCTAAATCCACCCTGAAGGTTAATCTTGGACAATATCTGATGATCGACTCTTTTAAATGAAACCAGAGAGCGTTGACAGAGAGGAGAAGGTAGA